GACCATATATCCTATCTGCTTGAAGAAATCGAACATGCAAAATTAAAAAAGAGGGAAAAAGGTTCAGAAGTGAAAACTAATCTTGAAAAGCGAGAAAAGTCTACAATATTGATTCAAGCGAGTGTGAAAAAAGAGCAGTCGAGCAGGAACAAGAGGGAAATGATAATGAGATTTGTATGCTTTTTTTTATTATTTTAATGTCATTTGCTTATATATCTCAACACATGTATTGTGTGCCATTGTCATTATCGATTGTCCTCTTGTATTGAAATGATTTTGTATGTATATAGTTGTTTAAAAATGAGTACAACAAGAACATGAACAAAAAAGAGATTGAGGTTTCTCTGATTGTCAATTTTGTATATAGTAGTATACGTATATACATAGACATTAGTATTTTTATATAACCACAAGTTGAACTGTTAATCTGTGAATACAATTATACAGTAAAACCTCTATAAATTAATACTCGGTAATTAATAATCTTTGTAATAAATTAATTTTTTTCTCCAATCCCGACTTGGACCAATGAAAAAAATCATCTATTTCGATAAGATAATAAAGATAACATATATATCCAGAAAACCCCTATAAATATTGATCCCATTGATATCATTAATTAGTAATTCTTTAAAAGATTAAATATATCTAAGAAAATTTAGTGAAATATGATTTTATTATGTTTAGTTTTTCTTAAAATTTAAATTTGGGTACATCAATACTATATTGTTAGCGTTTTCAAGATTTTATTTAGAAGAATACTTGTACAATTTGATACCCACAAATTGTATCTTTTTTGGTCGTTTGTCTGATGTATCCATATTTATACAGTTTGATACCCACAAATTATATCTTTTTTTCTCGTTTATGTAATGTATGCATATTTTTTGCTTAACAATATTATTGAAATGTATCCATATTTATATACATAGATATTTATTTGTTATATAAGCACAAGTTGAAATGTTGATTTGCGAATACAGTTATATCTAGATAGATAAATATTATATCCAAGATAAAAAGTTGTTTAGGAAATACAAGTATAGTTGTATCCAATGCATTTATTTTTGTGTTTTACAACAATGTATTCATTTTTCTCCTAACACTAGTGTATGTATTGCCACATAGTTCAACTATCAAAATCAAAATACTTAACATTCATTCACAAATTCAACAATTTGCTTACATACAATAACTTGAATTAACAAAAAAAAATTATTGTCTTTCCGACGCCAGAATAAGAAATATGGAGACAACAAGAAAATTGAGTATGATGTATCACAATTTTTGTTAACTGATAAAGAATATGATCTGATATGTTTTTAAATAATTAATTTTTAGTTATAAGTTAATTATGGGAAGTTACTTATTGTATGGAAGTAATGTAAGGATAGTAAATTATATTTAGAGTCAATTTCTTATTTAGTTTATTGTACTTAAAGATGTATTAATGAAAAAATAAAAAAATATAACAAAAAAGTGACATAAATTATAGTCATTCATAGTATATAACATACTTATAGCTATTGATATTCATTCACCCTATAAATATATTTATTTTTGTAAGTTGCTCTTAAAAGATCCTGAATTAAATAATTTTGAAGATCGATTTATTTATACAAAGATCGATTAGTCAACAATAGTAATACTAACTAACTAATCTTTAATATATATTTTTCACAACGAGCATGGCTTTGTTTTTTTAATTTTTGGGCATAATTTGAAATAATGACTTTTTTTTTTACAAAATATAAACTTTTGAAATCAAATTTTGTATTCATAAATTTTGAAAAACAATTTCAAATTTTAAAATCCTAGTTTCTGGAGAATTTGAGATTTGAAACTGAAGTTGAAATAAGAGAAACTTCCAAATTAAAACTTAAAATTGAGGTCCTGAATTATTACAGGTTTACACGACTTGGGCTGAAGATATAGTAAGCTGAATAATAGGCCCACCTTCTATAGTTAACCCAGCCCAGTAAACCCAGAATTGGGCTTCTAAAGGCCCAAAATAGTAATACTAAACCCTAGTAAAACGCCATAGATTAAAGAAGAGAAGCAGCTTTGAAAAAAATCCTTCCGCACAACCAAAGGTAAGCCTCCATTGCAGACCACCAGTAGCCTCCGCCATCATGGGTCGTATGCACAGTCGTGGGTTCGTCATTCTCTCTTTTGAATCTCCATTTTTTTATTTTTTCATTTTTCTGCGGATCAATGTGACATTTTTTTTTGTGTTTAACTGTTTTTTGTGGTTTCAGTAAGGGTATTTCAGCTTCTGCTCTCCCTTACAAGAGAACTCCTCCTAGTTGGCTCAAGATCTCTGCTCCAGATGTAAATTCATCCACCTACTACTGTATAGATGTTTTTTAGAAATTTTAATTAAGTTTTGCTTCATTTTTTGATTTCAGGTTGAGGACAACATCTGCAAGTTCGCTAAGAAAGGATTGACCCCTTCACAGATTGGTGTGATTCTTCGTGATTCTCATGGAATTGCACAAGTGAAGAGTGTTACTGGTAGCAAGATCTTGCGTATCCTCAAGGCACATGGTACGTTTTTATCATTGTTTATGTGAATGTGGTTTGATTTATGAGTATTTGAATGAATGTGGTTTGAGATGTATGAGTATTTTTTGGGGGAAATTGGTAGGGCTTGCACCTGAGATTCCAGAGGATTTGTACCACCTGATTAAGAAGGCTGTTGCCATTAGGAAGCATTTGGAGAGGAACAGGAAGGATAAGGATTCTAAGTTCCGTTTGATTTTGGTGGAGAGCAGGATTCATCGCCTTGCTCGTTATTACAAGAAAACAAAAAAGCTCCCACCTGTCTGGAAATAGTAAGTTTACTTGCTAATTTCTCTTGTTATACTCTGAATATCTTACTGTGGTATTTAGTTGCATTTAGCACACTGCCGATAGTATGCATTGATTTATTCCGTTAAAGATTGCCGAAGTGGTTTGATTATATGTTTTTAGCTTTAGGTCTCTGTCTTTGGTATCTAAGTGAACTGATGACCCCAAAAGATGGGTTTGTTAATGTCAAAGTGAGCCACATTGGTTCAGAGAATGACTTGTTGCCTGCTCATATGGTCATTGAGTTGGTTTTTGGGGAAAAATTAAGCCTAAACTTCAACCCTGCCTCCACCCCTATTTTTTATTTGCCCAATGCTTAACCTCCGTGGCCTATGTGCTCTAAAGAATGGGTTGTTGGGTTGTCTCCCCACATCATGAGTTAGCTTTGGGAATTGAGCTAGGTCTAAGATTTATTTCCCTTACATTTCGAAAAGTTAGATAAATTCTTCTAATTCTTAAGACTATTGGCTGTGTTAGGTTTATACTGTTTTTGATTGTGATGTCTGTCCTAATTGAGCAAAGTGAATTGTGAGGATTCATGTGTTAACCTCTAACTAGCTTGTGACTGAGACATGGTTGTCATTTGTCAACTTATTATTCTTGTTTGCTTCCGTCTTCTAGATATCTGGTCCATTCTAAATGAAATTACCTGGTTCATGTTTAGCAAGCTTTAAAGTTGTCATTAAACCCACCGTTCCTTGACATCTTGCTTTACTCTTTTCTAGGTTAACTTAATATTATTTTATGTCTTGATTGTGTTTAGTGGATATAGAGAACTATATTTTTAATGGAAGTTCTGAATGGTGAAGAAGTTGTTTGTTTCCAGGCTTGGATATATTTCTTTAAATACAGCAAAGTTTTACTTCTTACTGTAGTACTTATGGTTTGCCGATAGTGAAATAGTTACATACTGGGATGCACAGCATATAATCCTTTGACATTGATTCTTCAATCCGTTCCTTATTTGCTTCTCTAAAAGGTTTTGGTGATTTTCTTGCGTGGTTAGAGTTTAGCTTGTGATGTGGATTAGGTGCGCATTTGTTTGAACCTTGCTGCAACCTAAAACCTGATATTTAATGGATAAAGAAGGATGGCTCATTATTATTCATTTTACTTTTGAGCAATTGCGCCTTCAGAGATTTCTTGGTTATAACAAATCTTACATCCCTTTTTTCCTGTTTTTACTATTTTCTTGGTGTATGCCATCTTTATTCATTCACATCGATTCTTTATTAACTGAAGGTTGCTGATAATTTTTTTTTCTGCTTATGTGCAGCGAATCTACCACTGCTAGCACACTTGTGGCATAGGCTGAGACGTGAGCTGGAGTAGCTTTGGCTGATCGCAATATGTAGTTTTCTTGTGTCATGAACTGTTTGCTATATCCAATTTTGTTTGATTTAATCATGCTACTCAATGGAAAATAGTTTTCTGGATAGTATTTGCTCCTATTTTTACCAAGTGTTAAGCATAGATGCTTTTATTTAGATATTCAAATGAATGACTTGTTTCTCAAGCTCATGGTGGTAATCTGTAATTTGGATTGCTGAAAATTGTGGTTTAATGCCTCATCATTCTATGTTCATGGCAGTGAAGTACCACTTTTAAACCTCAATGTGTCCGTTATTCTGTGATCACATTCTTGGGATTTTAATCTTTGGACTATGGTTGAATTATTTCATGATTAAATTTATGTTTCGTGTGATTGATGGTAATTTATTTCAACTAAATGCATACTAAATTTTACTCCAAGCTTAATCTTGGAGTATTCCACTTTATTGTGCACCAAATGATCCCGAAGAGTAGCAAGCACAATAATGATGTAGAAATTAGCCCTCAAGGGGTGAGTGATAATTATGAAGTTTTTGGTATAAATCTCCATAATCGTTTCCCAAGATTATTTTAACTTAATTTTACAACATATGACATTCAAAAATGTTCTTCTAAATCGATGTGAAATTGTAGAGGAATGTAAAAAAGAAAAAAGTTATTGGAGAATCGCTAAACCATGGCGTTGGCACCCTTCATTACAAGGGGTTGAAAATCAATCAATTATATAGCTAGGCTATTATGGAAAGAAGACCTATCTCAACGCACATGTTCATCTTGTCAGCCAATAAATGACATGAAAATGTGGACGACATCAAATAATTTAGGATAAATTATTAAATTATATGCATATGTTTACATATTTTCGTTAAATTCTTACTTTTTCATGAAAATATAAAAATCTCCACTTTTTTCCTATCAGATACTTTATTGTGAAAGAACTCAAATCCACGTTTATCATCCTCAAAATATTGCCTCTAATTTTTACTCATTACCAAATCAGTTATCCAATTCAAAAGCGATTTGATTTTCAGACAATTATATCTCTCCCTCTTTTCACTCACACAATCAAATTAGTTACCATATTAATCAAAATTTTGATAGATTTTTCTCTCCAATAAACTAATTTCATATCCGTAGATATTTTCATCTTCTTCAATTTTCTTCATCGCTTTTTTCTTGTTTCATCATTTTGTCTAATACATATGAACTCCTTCATGTTGGATTGGAATTATCCAAATAGTTACACCTAATACGAATCAAATCTTTGAATCTGATAATCTCCAATAGACAAAAAAAACAGATTTAAAATGTTACATAATCCTTTAACAATGGCAAATTAAAGTTCAGAGAAGGCAAAAGCGAAAAAGGATGTACCTGCAACATCGAAAGCAAAAGTTGAAAACAACGAAAAAAATAATCAAAAAGGTTGCCCTGCCATATCTCATCAACCTACACTATCCAGGGTATGTATTTTGAACCATGTATTTTAGTATATATTTATTTTGTTTTAAATTTATGTCTTTCCCTGTTGAACTATTGAATCCATAATATTCGAGGGGAAATTTGTTCAAGATATTATGCAACACAAAAGCGATGGTCTGTAACTATTGAATCATTTTTTCTTTACTTACATATTTGATTTGTTTTTATAATGTATTTTTTTCTTTTCTGTAGTGACTCTGAAATATTTTTTGTTGTTTTTATTGAATTTCTGAGTGATGAAATCAGCATCCCATCTAATGATTTTCAAAGGCTGACTCTTAGTTGTTTCCGCCGCAGATGCGGAAGGCCATCCTAACAATAAGGTCTTCCGTATGGAGCGCTTTTTGGCTCCCCGAAGACCCCTAAATTAGCCTAATTAGATTCAATTTGCTTTTTTGTAGATGGACAAATTTTCTTTGACTTTTGAAGACTTGCCTACAGAAAACAGCGAATTACTTTCGGATATGGACCGAACTGTCTCACGACATTCTGAACCCAGCTCACGTACCGGTATTGATTTAATAGGCAGACATTTCTATCTAACACTTTCCAGTATAAATCTTATGGTAGACACCAAACATGTCCCAAACTTCTCGCTCCCACCGGCCGGCTGATGGAAATAGACTGACTACCGGAGATATTCGTGTTACTTCGTCTGCACTCGAATCGAAGGCCGAATAGAAAGCATTCCCCCCAGCTGACTATCTTCGTACAAGGTATGCAATAATGTTATGAAAGTATGGTCTCAACTAGGGGTGGGCATTCGGTATTTCGGTTCGATTTCGAGTTCTTTTTCGGTTTTTTCTATTTCTGATTCTTGTAAATTGTGTACCGAATACCGAACCGAAATATTTCGATTCGATTTTTATTATTTCAGTTTGATTTTTTTATTTTGATTTTTTAATGGGCCCGCTTAGTGGATTTTTTTAAATTTTAAACATTACAATTTTTTTGTTTGATTTTTCAACTTAATGGGCTAAAAAGTAAAAACAGATAATACAACAAATAAGTGCATTACTAATTTACTACCAAATATCAATATGTCAAGAACAAAAAAGAAAATTACAAAAACAAACCTGACTAGGCTGGACGCCGGACGACTGCTGCTGCTGGCGGCGTCTGCTGATGCTGGTGGATCCTGGCGGCTGCTGCTGCTGCTGCCTGAAAGAGGAAGATGAAAGAGGAAGTCAGGAAGATGATAGAGAGGAACAGGGTTTCACAAAAAGTTTTTTCTTTTTTTAAAAGATTATTTAACATTAATAATTATTAATTAATATAATATAAATTATAGTATAATATTTCGTTTTAAACCAAAATATCGAATACCAAAATAATACGTACCGAAAATTGAATCGAAATATCGAAAAATACAAAAAAGTAAACTGAATATCGAATCGAAATGCCGAAATCGAAATTCTGAAAAATTTTGGTTCGGTTCGGTAAATCAATTTTCCGGTGTTTATGCCCACCCCTAGTCTCAACAAGGCCAAGACGGGATATGTTAGCGAAAATGATGATCCTACAAGGCTGAAAAATGACTACACTCAACCAATAAAAGTTGATATTGTTAATTTAGAATAAATTTTTATGTATCGATTCACCGACAGTTCTCTATGATCTATTGTTTTTAAGATACATTGATTAGTGTTTTGAGTATTGCTTTCCTTTTTGAAGATACTACTAAATGTGAAGAGTTTTTATATTGAAATTGCTTATTTCGCGTTTCATTTTGTTTCAGTATATTTAATACGTTGTTAAATTTTGTCTCTTATAACTTATAAGTATAGTACATATCACTATAGTAGATATTATATTATTAGCTGATACAAAATTTTTAAAATTTTTATTATGTATATGATACACTATTACTTTCGATATAACAAATTTGTATCTATCACAACACATGATACTATATTTTTATATCTGATACAAAGCAATTAATTTTTAATATATTAGTACCTTATAACATTATGTCTCTTATAAATTTGGTACAAATGACTACACTTGATACTATATTATAAGTTGATACAGATTTGTCAAACAACATATTATGTATACGATACACAATTATTATTTATCACGCTTTCAAAATTGCAAATCGATGTGTCTTAGAAAATGTGATACTATATATTTACAATTGTTACAATCCTCTTAATTTGTAATATATTTAGTAACTTTTAATATTATGTCGCTTATCCGATGCACAACACAACTATAATCAGGTACTTATCACAACACTTGATACTATATTATCCGATACAAAAATTTTCAAACAATTAAGTATCAGATTTATTATGTTAAACAAATCAATGCTATATAATAGTATTTTCAGTACCTATTAATAGTTACAAATACATTGATTACTTAATCAATACAATGTATATTTTAAAAATAACTTTGTATCAAATACAAAACAATACACAATTCAATTTATCATAAATTAACAATAAAAATATATAGGCAAAATTGAAAAACGTAACATTTCAATTTATTGAATAAGAAACTAGTAAATTAAAAGTACTTTTTAATGTAAACGTTTGTAACAACATATTAACTGTTATAATTTATTATAATAACAGATAAAATATTATAATTTGAGAATTATTAGATCTGAAATAATAAACTACTCCAAAAAAATATTGATCTAGATTTCTTTTTCGGGAAGAAAGTACAAGTTCTTGATTGAGGCCTTCTTGTCTACATCGCACACTACAATTTGTGTTTGACGTTAGTTTTTCATCTGAATCTATTTTTTCTTTTTCCCCTTAATCTACTGGGCATTATTTTATATCTTGGTGGCAAGACAATTTCTTTCAAAACACATTTTGAAATTGACCAATCACTTTTGTCCGACATTAATTTCATTGGAACTCCATAACACACTAATACATACATGTAATTATACCAAATATATTTATTATTTAATGTTTATTGTATCATTCCAAAAAAAATTATACTTCAAGATACATTATTTTAACTCGCTCAACAGATCATATATACTCTTAGTTTATCATACATATTAATGTCCCCATAGTTTTACATGGTTTAAATACATATAAATAAAATGATACAAAACACATGTATATCTGTCACAGTTATCCGTTTCTATTCATTGATACACTAAAAGAGCGAATATTTCAAACATATATAATACTTTATAATTATCAACCAATGATACACAAATTTAAACACCTTACTCGTACAATGCAACACCCAATACATAAGATGCAATCTAATTATGATATAGTTTGCAAATATCTGTTTATCATGAATAATATAGTGATAAAAAAAAATTAAATATGTATCACAAGATTATTTGTTCACATACCTCTTGTTAGCAGATCTTTTAACGCATCTGCAATGGCGGAAATAAGGTTCACGAATAAAATATTTTCCCCAATTACTATTCCATCACTTCTGTTTCGCTCGCACCTAACATCACTTTCTCATATTCTCGAATTCTTTAATAATATCGAAACATTCATTAAGAATCTTCACAAAATTTCGCTGCAAATTTTCTTTAATCAACTTTCTGCAGTTTTTTGGAAGAACAGGGAGATCTAATTTGAAATTTTAATTTCATAGTTATGTTACCTTTTTGGGATAAACTGATTGATAGAAGCCTTTTTGAAATAAAGTGATGGTAGGAGAAAGAAACATACGCTTGATTTATGAGATTCAATTATAATTTTTATTTGTAGTCTGTTACTTAGTGCAGTAAATTCATAACAAAAACGTTTAAATTAATGTATTCGCCTTTACAATTATGTATCCAAAAGGTATAAAAAAAGAAAGAATCTTTGTAATTAAAAAAAAGTAAAAATAAAATATAATTTATCTATTACAATAATTAAAGTCAAATCAAATTTGCAGTTGCTACCATAATCAAAGTCAAATCAGTTCGTAAAGTAGATATTTTGACTAGCATTTTGATTCTATTAATTATATTGTTTATATTTTTGATGATTTTTGTTGGAATAAAACTTCTTTTGTAGGTAGGTTCCTTTAGGCATCAAACTTTTTTGTAGGTACAATTGAAACATTGATTACGTTAGAATGAAATCCTCACTTTATATAATTGTGTAATATTTTGTTTCTTTGAGTAAATTCTTTTATATGTTTGTAGTTGAATATCTTTTCAAATTTTCTCAAATGGTTACAAGATAGATAGAAATATATAAAGGGTTAAATTTATTTGAAGTGATACAAATAAGATTTTAAAAATCTTACGCAATCAAATGTACTTATATTTTGTTAAAATTAAAACTACTCAACAAGTTAATGTATCTTTTTGAAAAATGAGAATAACTTTAAATGTCATATATATGATTATGATCCTAACCATGTGTATTGTAATGGATGAATTGACACATTTTGCATATCTTAAAACTCAACGACTTCTCTCTTGAAAACATTCTCCAACTAAGCAATTTGTTGATTGAGGTTCCAAATAGAAATTGGGAATTTCCCCCCTCATTCACAAGAACAATAAATTTTATTTTATAAAAAAGGAAAAGGTTTGAATAATAAAAAGGTAACACTCTTCGCTTTGGAATCATGTTTAGAAATTAAGTCACACGGTTTATTTAATTAAAATTCAATTTGCATAGCTTGATAATACAAGAAACAAAATCAAAATTTAACTACGACTCAAGTTTTAAGAAATAACTATAAATATATATATTGGTAAATGAAGGTTATATACTTGAAGAAAATTTGATGAAGATATAATTAAAGCTACGAAAAAATAAAAAATTATCACTGTACTATGCAAAACTGAATAAAAGAAAATGTCTTTTATAAGAAGAATTGATTAAATTTTTTTGGTTAATAATCTGACCAAAAAAGGTCCCAATATTTACTTTATTGGGTCTAAAACATTATTTCCCTAATATATATACATTTAAACACATTTTTTTTCTCTAATAGATATAATATATCTAAAGAACCTTATTCTTACTTTTTAAAGATAATTTAGTTAACTAATAAAGAAAAGTAGAAAATATATATAGTCTGATAAATAGGTTATACATATAATTAAAATCACAATACCTTTTATTTTATTTTATTTTCATTTAGATAAACAAAACAATTTTCTTTTCTAGTATTTTTTTTTAATTTCTTAATCTTTTCTCAATTGGCGTAGGGTAAACTTTCATATGATCCATGCTTTTAAAATTAATTCGCCCTTTTCATTTATCCTACCTCAACTCGAAAGAGATTAAGAAATAAAAATATTTTGTATTTAACATGAAAAAATAATTTTATCTCTTAAAATAATATTTCTATAAGAAAATTTTGTTTAGATAGAAAAACAATGATATTTTTCTTTTGGCAATATAGCTACGTTGATTAAATTACTAAGCAAGAATAAATCTGGACAGAGACATGAGAAATAGCTTGCATCATCTATACTATCAAGACACATGTATCACTTTCTACTTAGCTGAGAAATCTCTGTGAGAAGAAATCTAAAAGCATCGGCTATGTGAGACCAAAAATGGCATACTGCAAGTGTAAGGGTAACGATGGGTTTCTGTACAGATAGCCTAGGGATCGGATATCTATCTCACTTATTCATTAGTGGTCATCTTTAGTCATGTCAATGACAGCTTCTTCCAGGTCACTCAGCACCATCAGTCATGTCGACCGGTGCTCCTTCCTGGTCATTCCGCCTTTTCTCTGCATTATCATTTAAGCCTTTCTTTTTACTTAGAGTGTGAGCTGAAATAAGTTCATGTAACTTGCGCGTCATCATTTCTTCCTCAACTTGAAGCTTGTGCAATTCATCTGACATTGCTTTATGTGTATTTGAGAGTAGTTCACTTTCTTTCTCTAGATGCTTCAAGGTTTCTCCTGCATATTTAGGATCCATTGAAAAAAAAATTGATCTTCTTCCACAAA